GAAGAATGTAAATCAAATAAAATGTTTCAGAAAAAAACTTTTTCTTGCAATAATAATAATAAATAAAAAAGCATTCAAAATACCTATTTGATGACTGCAGTAAGCTATATAGCCCCAGCTAGGTGCTACTTTATAGTATGTTCGTTCTACTCACTAAAGTTTATGCTTGAATCAGACTTGTGTTCATGGATATGTATGTATCAGCTGCACTTGCTATTGAAAATATTTAGATTAAGATCTTTAGTGAATCAATAAAATGTGGGGGGAGGGAAGGGAAAAGAAAGCAACCATCAGTACCAGATACAGTGTGGGAGGAGGGTGGGAGATGGCAGAGGGTAAGAGGGGATCAAGGATGGGAAAAACAGCAAAACATATAGGAAACAAATGGAAAATTATTTGTTGACAATAACATGTATGTTGATGTACTTGATTGAGTCAATATACAGTGTATTCTGGATGGAAAAATCTCATTTTGAATGCTATAATGTATAGTAATATGAATGTAAATAAATAAATTTAAATAAAAAAAAAAACACTAAATCTTTATGGCACTTGTTTTAGTTTTTATGTTATTGGATAGTATGTGTACATTTGTACTAGCCTCTGAGCAGTACTGTCTCAATCTTCCAAACAAGTAGCATAAGTACTTCATCAGTACAGAAGATATAAACAGGAGGGAGAAGTCTTAATTACATCCTAAAAATGTTTAGGAGGAACGAAACAGCAGTTACTTACAACTATGCACTAGAGGGGTAGTTGTTGATTAGAAACTGGTTTCTACTCAGAAGTGTCCCCTTGATAAGGAAATTCCTGGAAAGCTTTTCTAGCTCTAAGAAGTTAAGTGATTTCAAAGTAATAAATGAAATACTAGAAAAGTAAATCTGAGGAACTACGGGAAACCTTAAAAAGGCAAAATACAGAGGAAGAAAATGCTGGAAACAATGAAGCAAGTACAAAAAGATTTGCACTAAAACCAGGTTTGCATATGTGTGTCTATACTAACAGTCTATTGGCCTTGAGTATGACTTCCCAAGGAAATAATTCTTTCAATTACTCTTTTATTTAGGCTCTACACATAATGGTTAAATAGCTCCTTACCTGGTATATGATCTTGGTCAAGGTACTCTTCCTACTGCTCTTTTCCCCACTTGTAAAAATAATTGGCTATGGGACCAGCACATTGCACAATGGTTACATCACTCAACTCAAATGTAGTAAACCACAGTTTGAGTCTCAGACTAGCAGCTTGAAACTCACGTCAGGAGACCAGCAGATCATAATTGTTATGTCCCTGGATTCCCATGTACTCGACTGTGGTTCAAATCCAGGAGCCTGTGTCTTGAAACTCATGCCGGGTGCATGTGTGTGTGTGCCCCAAATCCTGAGGAGAATGGAGAAGGGATTGTGGTGTGGCCATCTCCCCATAGGAAGTGATTTCTCGCTGTCTCTTGTTTCTCTGGTGAGCGCACACACCCTATAGCAAAAATCTCTAAAAACAAAACAAAAAAATCATGCCAGGAGAATGGAGGAGGAGGGATTCTGGTGTGGCCATCCCCCTGGGGGGTAATTTCTTGCTTTCTTTCTGGCAAATGCACGTACCCTATAGCAAATCTGAAACTTAAAAAACAGTTACTACATGGATTGTGAATACTGAGACAATACCTGTAAAGTAGCACAATGCCTGACAGATTAGTATTTAGCAAATGTTAGTGGCCAGTTTAAAATAGCATCTTAAAGTTTGACAATTTAGGGCCAGTAGGTGGCCTGGTTTTTAAGATGATGTTGAAGACAGTTTGAGTCTTGGACCTGGTGGCTTGCTTTCTCATTTTCCCTTTCTCTTTCTGGTCAAGTTAAATAATAATAATAGTAATAATAAAATTAAATAAACAATTCTTTAAAAAAGGTTTGACAATTTGTCCATCAATAAGGGAATCTGCTTAAATAAAGCATGGTGCTCCATACAGTGGAAGACTACTCTATATGGCTATATAAAAAGATGAGGAAACTCTTTACCTATCAATATATGAAAAGATAATGATACTGATTTTTTAAAAAGGTTTTATTTATTATAATTTGACCAGAGAGGGACAGAGTGAGAGAGAGAAAATAAGAGAGCAAGCTGCCAGGACTGGGACTTGAACCATGGTTAGCTATGTGGGAGTCCAGTGCCCTTAACCACCATGTCACCTGCTGGCCCCACACTAAGTTTTTTAAGGAGTACAGGACAGTGTTTATTGTATGACTATTTTTGTGAAAAGGAAAATATTCAAAGTTGCTTATATGTCATTAGCACCAGAGGTCTACAATAGAAACTTCAACAGAGGTTATCTAGCAGTGGGAGTGGGTCCAAAAGATGAGGGTAAGGCTTTTCATTGAGTATCTTTATCAAGTTTTGAGTATCAGGGACCAGTAGATGGATGGCATAATGGTTACATCACTGGACTCCCACATGGCTGAACGCAGTTCAGGTCCCAGACCCGCCAATTTGAAACTTGCACCGGGCAAGTGCCATCCACTCTGAGGACTGATTTCTTGCTTTCTGTGTCTCTCCACAGTGAGTGCATGTGCCCTATAGCAAAAAATCTTAAAAAGTTTGACTCCTGAATTGCTTGACTATATTACCTATTTACAAGTTACTTTTTAAAATAATAGTTTTATGTATCATTATTATTTTAAAATTTGCTACAGTGTACACATACTCTCCAGACCAGAGGCTGAGGGAGGGTGAGAAACCCCACCCCCTAGGTCCAGGACTCGAACTGCAGTTGTGTATGTAGAGTCCAACACCTTAACCACTATTCCACTTGCTGGCCCATAAGTTAATCTTTTTTTTTTTAATGAAAGAATCATTTTATTTATATTTATTTATTTAAATTTGACCAGAGAGAGGGAGAGAGAAAGCAAACCGCCAAGTCCAGGACTCAAACTGCAGTTGGCCATGTGGGAATCCAGCACCCTTAACCACCATGCCACCTGCTGTTCCCCCCACAAATTAATCTTTTTAAAGACAGCTTATCTTTTGAATATATGTATTCAATGTAGATTCTATTTTGGACTGAAATTCACAGGAACCAGGATTTTAGTAACTTTCCCCATAATAATTATACATAGTCTTAATATCAAAGGAAATGGATCAGTTTACCTAAGTATATGACAGTGTGCCTTAGTGTTTCTTACACAGTACAATCCTGGACTTAAATTTTTACCAGTAGGCAATGAGGTTATACAAACACAATGAAAGAGTTACAAATTAGTAGAGAAAGTTAAGACTGGCTGCAATATAATTAAAAGTAGTGGAGTTGGAAGACAGCATAGCGGTAACATTGCTGGACTCCCCACATGGTTAACCGCAGTTCATGTCCTGGACCTGATGGCTTGAAACTCACCAGGCAAGTGTGAGTGCATGGCCATCCCTGGGTGATTTCTCGCTTTCCCTCTATGGAGTGCACATGCCCAAAGACAAAAACCTCTTTAAGTGGCATGGTGGTTAAGGCACTGGATCTCATATGGCTGGGTCTTGTACCTGGGGGCCTGAAAATCACACCATGTGCATCCAAGTGTGAGCTCAACATCCCAAGAACTGAGAAGGGATTGCAGTATGGCCACCTGTCGTGGGGGGTGACTTCTCATTTTCTTCCTTTCTCACGTTCTCTGTCTCTGTGGTGTCTGTATCTGCCCCATGGCAAAAATAAAATTAAATAAAAAACTAGTGGTACAGTCTTAATTTGTTGCCTTAGGGGAAGGCTAGCAGTATAGTTGCTGAATTCTGAGTACCTCAGTAACTGTTTCAGACATCTTGATAAGAGTGAAGCAGTATGATGGTGCTAAGTTAAAATTCCCCTTGCATGGACACTGTGTATTTTCTCTGGACTTACTATTTGACAGAAGTAGCCAAGGGAAGTGCCATGTGCCCCATGACCGTCACTCCTGCTCCTTAACAACTCTGTTTTGGTGATAAAGAACATCATGTTTTCTGTCTTTGGTATTCAATGCTTTAATCACGGTGATTAAGATCAGGACAGAAGTCACTTATCCAAAACATTCTCATTTTAAAAATCATTTTTTATTGTCATTTTGTGGTAAAAAAAAATACATGGCATGACTATAAAGTAATGAGACAAATTTTCATGTGTAGCTTGGATTACTGTCTCATTAGTATATAGTCACATCCTGTCTTGAGCTTGGAAGAAAAATATGCCTTCGCTATATGATTATCAACTTTGTTACTTAAAATTTATTGAGTGCCAACAGAGCACTAGGCACATATATAACACAGAATTGTACAGTCTCTATGTTGTAGACTATATTATTTACATAGATTTCTCAAAGATAACATTAAAGCATGTATTTACAGAACTTTAGACAAAAATAACAATACTGGAAATCAGCAAGTTTCTGTCTAGCAAGGAAGGAGCACCTTTTCATGAGTGAGAGGGTTATGCAGAACTTATTGTGCAAGAGCACTTTAATTCCATCACCCAGCGAGTCCATGTTATCTCATTATATAGTTCCATAAAGCTATAAGACGAGAAACCCAAGTGGGAAGCCATAAATCGGTTTCATTAGGTCAAATACATTTTAGAAAATTCTCTGCTGAGACCAATGCTTAAAGGGACTACAAACATATTTACATATTAAAGCACAAAAGCTATAACTATAGCATGCAAGTCAATGAGGTGGAAGAACGGTGAACATGAAAACCATTTTTCTAAACCTGGAGTACTTTTCTATAATAATCACCATTGCAGTATCTTATTTTAAAAATAAAGAGATACCTTTAAAACAAATACTGGTGTTACACAAAATCACCTTAGAAAAATTCAAGAGATCTTTAGATAAGTACAGTGAATAGAAAATTCCTCAATGTCAGCCATCAGGAGTCTTATAGGACTGGGAGTTTTGAAGGCCATTCTAGTGTTTTCCACATGATCTCAAGTGTGTCTGCGGGGCAGCCCCAGTCTTGGCAGACAGGCTGGGGTAAAAACACACAAATTGTCTGCGGGGCAGCCCCAGTCTTGGCAGACAGGCTGGGTAAAAATCACACAATCCTGGTAAGAAATAATCACGACTAATGCTGGATGAAGTTTCTCAAGTATTCATTTGAGACATGGCAGAGTCGGTGACCAGGGATCTTCCTTCAGTGAGAAATTCCATTTTCCTCTGATACTAATTCAATCAAAATATTAAAAAAAAATTATATCCAAATCAAAGTTCTTTCACTCTAAGAATCTGGCCCCAAATTCAGGTTGGAGATTTGTATACATTGTGGTTCTAAATGAACAAAGAAACATAGTATCAAAAAATAAGAACTACTAGTCAGATATATAGTATCCAATTTTTAAAAAGATGTATTTAACATTAACTGCACCAATCATATGCTGTTATCTGGGTTTGCTTGATTTGTCACATAAAGGACCTCTCTTAGCTATTCTCTAATATATTATCAATCAACGTACAATCAATTAGATAGGTGACCGTTGGACCTTGCCTTCAGCTGAATTTAGGATTCAGTATATATATATTTAAGAATGTCTTAAGCATACTCAGAAATGAAGGACTCAAGAAAATGTTCAGTCTTTTATTTAAAAACTATAAACAGTCACCAAAGTAAATAAAGCCATTCTATAACATAAACTGTTAGGTCTATATTTTTTACTGCACATCCTAAGGACACAGCAGAAATGGTGGTTGGGAGGCCTTCCACATTTTTGGATGCTAATAGAACAGGCAATAGGCAGTTATAAATGGATACATTTCACGCTGGGGAGAGAGGACAATTTAAGGAAGTGAGCAGTTTCTGAGCAGGA